TACAACAGGATCATGTTTAAATAATTGTTTCATCAAGAAATAATTCAGAAATGTGCAGTTTACACTGTTAATTTCAGTTAGGATGGTAATTATGCAGGAAATTCATGAAATTAAAGTTGATTTTAATAACAATTTTTAAAAGTTTAATTTAATATATTAATATATTTATGACAATTTTATACCTTTAAGACTCATTGTTTTATAAAACATTGCCAAATATCCATATTTTTGGAACCTGATTATGTATGTACAATGAAAATTATGCACTTTAAATTTAACATAGAACTGTTACATACAAAACTAATCAACATCTACAACTTGCAAGATTAGTGACAAAAATACATACACTGTGTTGTATGAGAAGAAAACTAGAAGAAACAAGAATGCTACAACTGTAGCAATATCTATACAAAACAACTGACAGATTCAACAAGCCCTACATTACACATAAGAATCGATTGACATTCAAAATCAGGATACAAACTTGGAGATGGAACAGAACAGTACACAACATAGTACCATCACACCTCAGCAACCATCCATGACAATTGCCTGGATATCTAGAGGTAGCAGATCCAGCATAAGATGTTTTGTGAACAAAATAATTCAAAACATATCTATGACCTAACTTTTTAAATAAACTTCAATTTTTGACATAGACATGCATTTATTTTAAATTCAGTGTAGAATTTTAAACATGAGGAATGATGTTAGGTACAGTAACACATTCAGTTCACTTTTGTCTCAACAAATATGCTACGATCATTATCGCTGTATTATAAGACTGAATAATTATTAACACCTAGTCTTCAATTGTAAACCTTTGCTAATGTATAGCGCAGCAATCACATAGATAATGAATGCAAGAACAGCCTGATGATGGCCAGTTAGGCAAAAATATGTAGCATGTAACCAAATGCATATTAATGACTATTTGTATACTTAGTTGTGTTAATGGAACTTTCTCACCTATTACAATATGCTCTGATATATAAAAATTCTGTTGGTTTTGCTGTGTGTATGAAGTAGTGTAATTTATGTCGCCAGATTAGATTCAATAGTATTATATTCTATTAGGGGAAAAGTCAAATGAAATTCAACATTTGTTTCGCATCTTCATTCTTTATCCACTTTCTTCCTTTTCTTTATCTTTATAATATTCCCAGGCAGTGAATTAAGTTATATAGTTATCTTTCAGATGACACAGTTTCAAATATACAGCAGATAATTGTATATGTATGTGAAAACTGTTATGGCATGAGAATGACATAACATACACATATAGATAATATGCATACATATTCATAACCCACCTCCTGTTGTACACTTACAGTATGTCACTGTGTATGAATGGTATAGATGGTGCTGTGGTAAAAGCGGTAGGAGTATTCAATTTGCTGTTCTGTTTGCAGAATTACGAGACAAGCCCAAGAATGCTGCGAGTATTTTCATGCCTATTTAAAAGAGTTCTTTGTTGGTTGGTTCACATCTACATAACCCGGTATTTGGTGAAAGACAAACAGTTTACAATGGAGGGAATTGTGTATTGTGAGGATTCAGCATTAATATTATTTACTTCCTTTAACCTGGGGTACGCGGTAGCGTAGTGGTTAAGGTACAAGCTGGAAGGTCGCGGATTCAAGTCCCGATGAGGTCATTGGATTTTTTTCAATTGACCTAATCATTCCGGCCACACTAGGCCCTGGGGATTACTCAGTCTCTAACAGAAATGAGTACCAGGAATTAATTAAATAATTTTCCTGGGGAGTGAAGCGTGGTCAGCGTGTAAGGCTGATAACCCTCCGTATTCCGTATTGAGGGGGTGGGTTTCCCCATGCACTTAGACCGGTTAGTGGTCCATAAGGCTGATAACCTTACCGCCATCTTTGAGCCGATTGTCAAGGTAATGTGGGACCCTTAACGTCTCACAACCCTATGGGCCTTCACGGCCTGTTACAGGGATAGCTTTACTTTACTTTTTTTACTTCCTTTAACCTTTTTGGGAACATCCAACAACTCCTGCAGTGTACCGAAAGCAGGCGATATTTATCCACTACAACTTGTGCCCTGGTTGTCTGTACATCCATACAAGTGCTACCCAATCAGCGCTCACAACTGCAGCTTTACCACCAACTGGTCCACACATCAGTCACGTCAATTGCCACTACACTGACTGGCTGGTTATTCTGCTTTGGTTGCCTTCAGACCATCACCACAGACCAGGGATGTCAGTTTGAATCTCAAGCTTTCTAATTCCTGGCCAGGATGTGTGGCATTCAACTTTTGCAGATGACCGCCCACCACCCCGCGGCTAACAGACTTGTGGAACATTTCCACTGGACACTGAAGGCAGCCATCATGTGCCCTGCAGACCAACAGTGGACTGAGGTTCTTCCCCTGGTTCTCCTTGGAACCCACACTGCATTCAAAGAGGACCTACAAGCATCAGTAGCTGAGCTCATGTACAGCGAGCCCTTAAGAATACCCGGTGAGCTACTAATACCAACTGCAGACCCAGTGGCTCCAGCACATCTCATCTCTGAGCTCTGCCAACACATGGCCTGCCTCAGACCAGTTCTGGCGGCATGCCACGCCTCACTGGCTACTTTCACGCACAGCGACCTCAAGAAGGGCACCCAGGTTTTCTTACAGCAAGACAGAATGCTCCGGGCTTTGGAGCCCCTTACAGCAGCTCCTACCAGGCCCTGTCATGGAGAGAGAGAAGAAACTGCAACTCGTGTGTGGGAGGCTCATCATTGTGTCAGCCAACAGGGTCAAGCTGGCCTACATCCTAAAAAAAAAGGAAGAGAGACCGACCACAGGACCACCTGTCATGCCGCCACAGTCCTCCACAAGAACTACACGTTCTGCTCGCCTGAACGTCTGGGCAACAATCTCTGCGGTGGGGGGGATGTGGGAACGTCTCATAGTGTACCGAAAACAGGCGATATTTATACGCTACAGCTTGGGGCCTGGTTATATATATATATATATATATATATAGAGAGAGAGAGAGAGAGAGAGGTCTATATATGCATACATAGTTTATGTTGTTTTTTCAATATGTTTATTTGCACATGTTCTGTTTAATGTGATTTTATATTTAGATCTGAATAGTGCCAGAAACTTCTCATGACAGCTGTACATTAGATGATCTGCTATGATCACCTACTGCTTCCACATGGAAGAACTACCATAAACATATAGTATCCTTTCTATACAACGAATCCACTGTTCTAACAACAGAAAGAGAGGGCATGTCATAAGATAACCTTCACTTGTGAGATTTCATTAGTATCAGCTGAGACAGGAAGCAAATGACCAAGTCACTCTATTTCAAACTCTCCAACATGCATTCTAAATTTATCTCTATTCTGACACTATAAAGACCAAGATATCTTCACAGGGGAATTTTCAATATAATAGACAAATTAAGAAATACAACTAATCCTTGACAGTGAATCAGAGGTAAGTGATGAACATTCTGATGAAGCATACTGGGAGGAAGTTGACATGAAGGAATAAGCTCCAGTTCCACCTTGCCACAAAGTATACAAGAGAGGTTGTGTGGCAGACCACTCAGCTGAGCATATCCACAACACAGATGACAGTTCTGACAATGAGATAATTCCAGCCCGACTTATACCCCATGGGGTAAAAAAGTGGGGTCAACTGGTAGTTCAAGCAGACACTAATATCTTTCAATTTGTTGGTGACTGGTATGAGACACAATGTGGTACCCCATATAAATAAAGATTTGATTCCTTGCAATCTTTTCATTTTTTATTCTGCAGCCACTATCACCTTGCTGGTGAAGGAGACCAGCTGCTACTACCAACAATACTCGGACTTCTTGATGATGAACTATCTCATGTACTTAATGTCACTGAATCTGGAATGTTTCTGTTTCTGGCAATTATTTAGATAGGACATGGCATACATGACAACCTGAAAGACTACTGGTCAACTACTAAACAGTTCATTTCAACTTCTCATAGCAAAACAATGAGATTAGTGATTCCTTCATATGCTTAGATTTGCACTTTCCATACAATAAAACTGCTTCTGACAACAATGACCTGAAATAAAAAAAAACTACAGAATCTAAGACGTATTTTTGACTTGTTCAATGACATGTACTCCAAGTATTATGCGCCTTCTGAAAATCTTTCTGTGGATAGTTATAGTACCTTTCAAGAGGCAGGTTGTTTTCAAACAGTACATACCCAAGAAATACATACATTACGGGGAAAAAAATTTATAAATTATGTGACATACTGGCTACACATACAATTTGGGCATATACACATGATGTGTGTGACCACAAATATGACAGCAATACACACAATTGTAAAGATACTCACAAAATGTGAAAAGACATGGACATAAGCTTTGTACGAACTGCTTGTCATCACCTGATTTACAGCATGATCTGACAAAATGGAAAGTAAATCATTGAGGAACAGTCAGACCTAAGAGAAACAGACTGTAACAGAACTTGCTACCATGAAGCAAATGATTGAAACAAGGCAACACTCATGAATGAATGAATGAATGAATGAATGGATGTATGTATGTATGTATGAGGGGTAGGCCTTCTCGGCCAATGCACCGCGACCTCACTGGTCTATTGTGCTTCCCCTTTTTTAATTATTCCCTCAGCAACCCAGCACTTTGGATGAAGCACAGGATTTTGGACATGGGGGCATCAAATTAGTCACTTGGTTCCATAAAGTATTGACCTAAGTGACGTAGTCTTAAATAAGCTAAAGCCTCACATTCCCACAGGACGTGTGTGGCTGTTTCATTTTCTGTCTGACACCTCTCACAAGTGGGACTATCACTTAGTCCCAGTTTGAACAGGTGTCGTTTGAGGTGACAGTGTCCTGTAAGTAGTCCTACCACCCATCATAGCTGGTTCCTGTTTAGCTTCAACAGTTCCTTCGCTCTTTTAGTGGAAGGTCCTCGTATGAGTACCTTTGCTTGCCTGAGTAGGCAACACTCATTCTGAGATAAGAGATGACTTGACAGCAGTGGTCTGGAGATGAAACTGATGTATACATACTGACAGCTATGTACAATCCACCAACAAACAGTATCTTCTGTGATGAGCATGGAAATACCATAAAGCCAGAATCATACAGGATTACAACTGGTTATGTATACAAAAGGGACAGAATGGTGAACAGTTACTGAACACAAGGCTACACATGGAAGTGGGCAAAAAGTTATTTTTTCACTTGATAGACTTGACAATTCTGAACAGCTTCCTCCTCCTCACTTCATGTGGAGTCAGAATGACTCACACACAATTCATACTTTCCTGTATACAGATCTTGATTGAAAAGGCTGTAAGTTTACTCAACCCACATCTACACATGGGGAGACCAAGTCTATTAATTAGAATAACTTTCAGTTGAACCTATAACATTTTATACTTCGTTTAAATAGGCAAAACTCTGACTTTGCTACTCTCAGTGTGCAAAAATAATTGTTGTATTCTTGTAGGGTGCAAGATGAATTAATTATCTGTTTAAATAAATAAACAAAAATTATTCATGTTATTTCCTGGTTGAATGTCATTAGGCTTCTGAGTGTGAGTTAGTTTCAATCATTATACATGGTTTTTCCTCTTGAATAAGGTGATGTGTAGGAATTCTAATTGTAAAAACTCCATTATAATTATTATCTTCAAAGTTGTTACTTTGTGAGCATTCTGTTTCACTCTCTCTCTGTTCTTGTATGATTACTGTTCGAGCATCACAGTTTTCATTTCCTCCATCATGAATGGATCCTTCGAAGTCTGTATCACTTGCACTGGAATCTCGCAGTGAGTTTTCAAAGTTCTCATATATTGAGACTGAAGAAGAATCATCTGGTGACACAGTTTGACCTGTATTAGATAGAAAATTAATCATTAAGTGCCTCTTTCCAAAGAAAGTTTGCTAATTTTATATCTGGATATAAACAAATGTGGGGCACAGGTGAAAACAAAATATTTTCAACTATTAAAGATGGATAAATTTTAAGACAGTAGTAGTTATTGACAGACTGTCACATTATATTGAATCCTGCATTTAAGATTACTTTGAGGAGCAATGGATGTGAACATTAAAGTGTGGAGAACTTTCAATGGAAGAAATGTAATGCAGAGGTTAATGACTTGGGATAACTGAGGCTGTGCGCTAATGAGGGAAAACCTTAAATAACAGGGTTCCACCCTATTTAAGATATTCTGTAATACAAGCTATAGTCATAGCATGATCTGTCACATGGACAGTGAAACTGTTATGAACAATAACTGTAAAAGTATAAGAGAAGATACTACAAACTCAGTTTGTTATTAATTTTAAATTATAATTTTTACTGAAGTGAGACTTGAACTTAAATTTTAGACTTTATATGAGACAAAGTTCAATCACTGAAGTTCACTGACACACACTATATGAAAATTTAAAAAAAAATGTCAGAAATTAGTTGAAATAAACTATTTCAATGAAAAAGTTTAATTTTTGAATTCCTGAGATTGGATCCTGATAACTTGGAATTCTACTTTTAAACTGCAATTCAGGAACTGGTCCCACTTGAGTAATTTGCCAACAAAATTACACAGGAAGATAACATGGGAATATTGTGAAGTATTTGACTACATATACAAACAAGCAAGGATACTGTGGACTGTATTATAATATAGATTAATGCTGCTGCTATTACAACTACTGTTATTGCTAGTATGGCTACTGTTACTGATACTACAACTACAACTACAGCTACAGCTACAGCTACTGCTACTGCTACTGCTACTGCTACTGCTCCTGCTCCTACTTAAAATATGTATGAGGGAGAATCAGTAAAGTGGTCACAAGTAGAAGAAAAACAGCTGAAATGGATGTAATAGTCTTCTGTATGTATCACTAGGTGGTATCAACACAGTCCAGCTTCTTGACAGTCTAGGTAGTAGACGTGCATGCGTAAGTTCAGCGGATGGTTTCCACAGTCAAAATGGCAACAATGCTTGAGGGTTGTACTACAAAACAGCAGCATTTTGTTGTGCTTTTTTGTAGGTAAAAGGACTCAATGAAAAGGATATTCATAAAGAAATGTTTCCTGTTTATGGTGGGAAGTGTCTGTTGTGTAAAGCAATTCACAACTGGAGTGAGAAATTCTCTCAAGGATGTTCAAAAGTCACAGATCATGTTCGACCCAAGCTGCCCTGCTGAAATTGTGACAGAAGCAAGTGTGCAGTGGGTATACTCGTAAGTGTTGATTCGAGCTGACAGGAGAATAGCGATAGACAATGCAGAAACTGCACTATAGTGTTCTCATGGTTTGACATACAGCATATGCATGATCGTTTAAAGTCTAGGAAAGCATGTGCACAGCGGGTGCCCACAGAACTGAAGGTTTCAGAAAAAATGAACTGAATGGGTCTGTTTTTGTAACATCTCTTATGGTATGCAGATGGAGAAGATACACTTAAGAGGAATTTTACTGGGGACGATTCATGGAGGCATCACTACCAACCTGAATGAACGTTTGCTTCCCTGTTTACCTTTAACCAAAAAGTGTAAGGTTACACAATCAGCTGAGAAGGTTATGCTTACCATATTTTGGGATTCTTAGGGAGTATTGTTAGCCCATTTTTGGAAGCATGGTGAAAATCTGAATTCTGCATAATACTGTCAAGTTCTGATGAAGTTTCAGGATGCAGTTCTCAGAAAACATCCAGGTCAACTGGCTAGATGGGTACTGCTTAATCATGATAATGCCAGATCCCATACAGCCCAAGCAACCCAGGATAGAATTTATGAACTATAGTGGGAACTTCTTGAACATCCGCCTTACAGCCAGACTTGGCCCTAGCGACTTTCATCTGTTTGGTCCGCTAAGAAACCACCTTGGTGGCAAATGTTTTACTGATGATGAAGAGGTTGAAACAGAGATGCAGAAATGGCTCAGACAACAGTCAGAAGACTGCTATGCTGTACATTTTGTTACAATGGTAAAGCAATGGGACAAGTGTAGAAGATATGTGAACAAATAAATGGTTTTTCCAGGTTCGAATATCACATGTTTTACTTGTGTTCCTCTTGCTGACCCTCCCTTGTATATTGTTTTTATTTACAAACCTGGGAGATGTTTGCGTAAACCAGGGATGAGCCACCAAGCAGTGAGTGCACAGCCAATCACACCTCCAACCACTAGGATTATCATTAGTATCAACTGCACCACACTCTGATCTGTAGAGACAAATTCTGATAAGTCGACTTTCCAAAGGACAGCATAAGGTATAATGATGTTTTAAAACACATCTACAATACAATACAATACAATCTAACTGTTCTGATGCATTTCTTCTTCTATCAGTGAGTATTTAAGTTTGGTAATTTTGTTATGACAGGATTCCTAAATTACTTCATTAGACAGGGAGTAAACACATTCAAACTCCAGAAAGTTGAAAAAGATGTGTTAACAAATAAACTGTAGAAACCACCTGATACTTCAGCTTCAATGGCCAGTTCTATGAACAAATGAATGGTGTGGCGATGGGCTCGCCAATGTCTCTGGTCATGGCAAAGTTATATATGGAGGACTTTGAGGAGAGGGCACTTGACTTGGCCCCACCCAAGCCCCGCTGCTGGTTTCGTTACATGGATGACATCTTCGTCATCTGGCCACACGGGCCCGACAAGCTTAAGGACTTCCTGAACCACCTAAATAGTATCCACCAGTGCATTCAGTTCACAATGGAGACTGAAATTGAGGGCCACCTCCCCTTCCTGGATATAGATATTTACAGGAGATCTGACGGTTCTCTGGGCCATAGAGGGTACCGCAAATCCATCCATACAAACCTCTACCTTAATGCTGTGCCCCACTACCACCCTTCTAGCAAGCAAGCTCTACTTTCCACATTGGTGCACAGGGCTAGAGCTCTATGCGATCAAGACAGCCTACATGCGGAATTTGTGCTCCTGGGGGATGTTTTCAGGCAGAATGGATACAACAACTGGCAGATCCACAGAGTTCTCAACCATTGGCTGAACATCAGTTGACCCAAAGATAAACTGGGCTCAGTCCCCTTCCTGCCCTATGTCAGGACTATATTCAACTGTATCAGCAGAGTGCTGTCCCAGCACAACATCAAATCAGTGGGCCTGCCTCCATAGAAATTATCTGTTTCCTCCGGCCGGTCAAAGATATCAAAACGGTCTTCATCACTAACTGATGATGCACTATATGTAACCAGTAAAGTATTACCACTTTCTTCAAAAGCATCAAAATGCATCACATTCTTACATATGCCATTTATTCACATTTCTTTCTAAATGTCTAATTTTATTTGTCTCTTCTTGGTTTACTTAATGAAACTTTAAATATCTCAGATTATACAGAATTGAGTGATATGATGATAGTGAATAATGGCTTGTAAAGCATGTGAAAGGAAGTGATCAGGGATTAATTCAAGGATTATTAGCTTGGCATTTGCTTTGAAGGACTGAGAAACACAACAAAATACCTCAGTCAGGACAGTTGTGTTTTCAAGTGCTGTATTGTTTCTTATAAATGGGCAAAGAGATTTGTCAGTGCACTATAACAATTACACTTGGAACTGAGCGAAAAGTCATGGCAGTATTATCATGACATCTGGTGTGGAGGAAATGCTGACACTAAGGAGCAGTTAAATGTGGTAACTAAATGTGTCTAAATGTGGTAACTACTTTTTACCTTTAATTTTATACTGCATTGAGAATTAAGAATAATCAGTGCAGGTGAATCAATTATCACAATGCCATTAATGCCATCACATGCCATTAAAATGGAGCTGGGATAGCACAGTCAGTGAAGTAATTAGGCTATGGTCTGCTAGCCTCAAGGAACTGGCGTTCAGTTCCCAACAGAGGCCAGTTGTTTTTTCTCTTCTCCACAGTGGCCAGACCAGCCCCGAGGCCAATCCAGCCATATTGTTCGTTAGATATCAAGGGCTCTTTCCCCAGGGGGAAAAAGCCACTGGGTCATGTAGCATAATTCTCACCTCCATCTGACACCAAGGTTAAGAATGAATGGAGCTATTCCATCACATACCTTCATGTTTAATTATGAATAGGGAGAACTTTATATTTACCTCTACCTTACACTGTTGTAATATGTGTAATTAATTTGCTGATTCATGAGTAATAATGTAACACACTTGGCCTACATTTAGAGACTGTGCATAAGATGTTTCCTTAATAATGAAATGCTCTAAGTATAATAAAGGGATAGACTTCTTACCCTGTAGCATTCTGCCCATGTGTGTGTCTACTATCTGTTGATGACGCTGGAAATGAGAGACTTGCACATCGTTGACTGACTCTGCAGTTTCTGCCTCAAATGCCATCACTTCAGGTTGTAAGTGTTCCACTCTGTTGTTATTACTGGGGTCCTCACGGTGATGATGTGATGGAAGATTGATCCTGTGAAGCATAAATGTTCTTCCATAACTAGAGCTACTTTCTTTAACTAATGAACCAACTAACTTCATGGATGTGAGCCCTTCTTGGGAAGGTGCCAACTGTGTAGCTACTCAGGAACTTCCCAGTAATTTATGGAACCTGAAGGTTTATTACCATGTTCACAAAAGCCCTCCACTGGTAACTATCCTGAGCCAGATCAATCCAGTCCATACTACCCACCCATTTTATTATTAACCACCTGCCTATGTCCTGGTCTTCCTAGTTGTCTCTTTCCTTTTTCTTACCTTACATTATTATTATTATTATTATTATTATTATTGTTGTTGTTGTTATTCTTCTTCTCCTCCATTCATGCTACATGACCTGCCCACCTCATCCTCCTTGATTTCATTCTAATTATAATTGGCAAAGAGTACAAGTTATGAAGCTCCTCATTATGCAGTTTTCTCCAACCTCCCATCACTTCCCATTTAACTTCAGTCTCACCTTGTTTGCCTGGACCTTCCTAATGGCATATTCTAAACCTATGTTGAAAAGAAGTGGCAATGAAGTGTCATTTTGTTTTAGACCATTCTGGATAGGAAAAAGACAAATGTTTACCTATATGGGCTTCACTATGCGTATTTTTAAACACATTTTAATCAGCTTAACTAGTTTCATGGGTACCCCAAACTCTATCAGAATATTGTACAATACTTCCCTCTTAACTGAATCCTAGGATTTTTGAAACCTACAAATAGCTGATGTACTGTCTCATTGTACTCCCTTTTTTTCTCCAGTATCTGACAAAAACAAAAAAAATCTGATCAGTTATGATCTGTTACATCGTAACGCACACTGATGCTCCCCAATTATTCCATCTATGTCTGAACTTAACATTAGGCGGTTAATCAATTTTAAGCGTTGTGTTTAAAAATGCTGTATCTAGCACAATTTTTATGATAAATGGATGGTATTAACTTTGTTTATATCGGCAAGGAACATAGTGTCGCATATTATAACGGAAGATTTGAAATTTTTAATACAAAGTGTTATACTCTATTTTCAATTTTTTGTGTTTTAATTTTGATGCGTACTGCAAAAATTGTTTCCCAGTTCTTCACAGAGTTGTTCTGCATTATAAATTCATTTCTGTTTGTAACACTTGACAAATTTTAGCAGTCCCTGGTGTCATAAAACAGATGGAAGCAATAAAATCATTTGGTCTTCTGCTAGCACTGCTTACACCCTTCGGATTTTCGAATCTTTGACTGAAGGTCAGAAGAATGAAAGAATGGCTATTCAAGAGAAAGCTAGAGGGGTCCCTTCTTCAGTGCTAAAACCTTCCGTTAGAACTGCAAAAGCTTATTGCCCCTTCTATTTGAGTGAACAGACAGCTGCATCATGGCTGAGATACAGAGCGCGATCTGTTTTGTGTGCGTTCGTAGTGAAATTGAATACGGTAGTTTTATTTGAAACTGTATATACATCAAGCAGGTAACAACAAAAAAGGTATGTACATCAAATTTTACAATATATTTTTAACATACCTATCTGCAGAATCTGCAATAAAATTACTGGATCGTGGATAAGTTTTGGCATAACTCATACGTATATTTTTATTTGCTGTTGTTCAGTTAGGTATTATTTTAATTCCTCTATTAGGGTTTTACTCAAGTCTGTCTGGTAATTACTACATTTGAAAATAAATATTTAGGAATGTGCATGCGCTTCTACTAGCGGCGTGTGCGCGCGCTTCCACTAGCGGAGTTTAAATGCCTGACTGGACAAAACGGGGTACTTTGGCCATGACGACCTTACTCATGACTGGCACAAACTGGGCACTTCGGCACTTAAAGGTTAAGGGAAGGATATTGGATAAATCCACAAAAGGACTAGGAACAGGTTTTAGCAACTTGGCTGTACGTATTTCTATCTGCCTAACATCACTAACGCTATGTACATTGAATAACTGAGAGTAGTAGTTCTTCCACCTATTCAAAATGTTGCGGAAATCTACAAACAGATCACCATTTACATTTTTCACTGAGTTACTTCTAGGTTGGTAAAACCACTTAAAATCATTTATACCCCTATACAAGTCTCTAATGTTCTTCTTAGTGTTTGTTGCAAGCTCATTAATTTTGTTTTACAGGTAGTTCCTCTTTATATGCCCGAAATGCCGGTTCGATTCACATCTTATATTGATTAGATTATCCCTTTTTATTTCACTTGGATCCTGTAACCACTTCAGTTTGGCTTGTTTCCTTTGATTTAATAATTCTGTGCATCCTTTGTTGAACCATGGCTTATGCTTCTTCAATTTATAATAACCTATGTTCTCTCATTCTGAAATGTTTATATTCTGTCAAATAGTTTCCCAAGCTCCATTAACATCCACCTCAGCATCTAAGTTTTCCAAAGCTGCGAACCTATTCGAGATGGCAACACGATACTGCTCTTTACTCTTTACCTCATTTAATTTCTTGACACTGAACCTCTCCATATGAAATATATGCATTGTTTAATCACTGCCAGTCTCTCTGTAACTTTTGCCACCAAGAGACACTGATCAGTAATGTGCTTCCCTGAACAGCGGGACATCAAGGATACTTGATTGCCATCTCTTATCAATCGAAATATAGTCAATTAGATTGTGAGTCTTTCAGCACCATGTCTGTAACAGTTGTAATGCCTGTTTTCATGCATCAAATGTTGCAGGACTAACTGCCTAGTATCATTTGCTTCTAAACTCTCCACCTCTTTCTATGTTTGTTTACTGTGATTTTATTCAAGTGCAGACAAGTTATTTCACTATTCTGTATTATTAAATATTTCAGAAACTATATTATTTACTGCATTAAGGAATAACGTTGATTCTTGCAGTTAATTTCTGAACAGTGATGGAACACTACCTCAGAGTGCCCTTGCTCAATTACACTCCCAAAAAACTAAATGTGGCTGGGGATTACAAACTTATTCTATATAATATTTTTCTTTTAGAAGTGCCAAAGGATAATGGCATATTTCCTACAGAGAAAGACACAACAGTAAGTTTATAATTCCAGAAACAAATACCTATTGCACTTACCCTGCTCTGACTGTTAAAGTTTCTGGCTGGAACGAACAAAGTACGAGGAAGCGTCGGGTGCTGTGTGTGAGGATGGGCAGATTTTCCTGCACCAGCACAAATGTGGCCACAGTGGTATCATTGACATGTGTACCACACATCTTGTGGTCTATTCGCAGTATGTAGGTATCTCTAGGGCTCTCTGGGTCGCCATCTACAGCACATCGTTCTCCATCAGCTGCCTCAACAGCAATGCGGCCTCCAAAATGTGGACCCGTGGCTACTTCTACTTCACTTGCATGAGGCAAGCACTGTGTTGCACGTGCTGAAACTGCACATTTCTCAGGTCATTAACTGAGAGCAGGAAGTGGAGACATGAAAATTTCAAACTAATACAATGGTAATGTAAAGAAAACTAAACATATATTCACTATCTTGTCAGCAAAATGCATGATATATATAATGACAGTTAAATCCCCAAACAGTAAGTTAGAGATCAAGCAAATATTTTCCAAGAAGGAATTAAGAAAAGAGAAGATTTCGGCATTGTTTGCTACCGTTCAGTTCACAATGTTCTGTTTTTCTGTCTCATATCTTAGAGTATGCAGAACTACAATTTTATGTTTTGTTTTTATGTGAGACTTAGTTTGTCATCCAGAAAGAATATAGATTAAGGGTCAAGTTAAAAGCTTTTTGAAAGTAGTATAATGCTGACTGACTGACTAACTGCATGGGGCTAGTCCTTCTAGAGAAGCCAACAGTCACTCAGCTGTTGGAAAACTTCTGAAATTGTCATGACACCTGATGGTTCATTACTATGTTCAAAAGAGCCATCCTCAGGTCTCTATCCTGAGCCAGATGAATCCAGTCAACATCCTCTTCCCCCAAACCTGTATATCTAAGATTCAGTTTAATATTACCCCTCCCATCTATAGCTAGCTCTTCCTAGTTGTCTCTTTCAAAGATGTGAAATGGCATTTAAAACTATTATTTTGGACTTTGTACATTGTGCATGTCTATTAAAACCACTGTCTTTTGGAAATTTTTCCCTCTTCAGGTGAACAGGATTTGAGAGCAAAGCTATTCTGTCATGTCACTCTACAGATCCACTCTGAAACTAAGGACAAAGTCCTGAGTATTATTTTGAAGCAATTGATAGACTGAACAGGGTGCTGAAGAGAATATTTGGATCCTTGATGGCAGAAGTAACAGGGGTAAAACTGCATATTAAGGAACTTCATAATGTGCACAAAATAAAAAAAAAAAAAAAAAAAAAGAGAGAAATGTACTCAAAAATTTTAATTAGAAAATCTGAGGAGATGAGATAATTTAGAATATCTAGGAATACCTTGAGAACTGTATTAAAATGAAGCTTAAGGAAACAGCGTGCCAGGATGTGGACTGGATTTATGTGGTTCAGGATACAGTTCAGTGGCATGCTGCTGTGAGAATAGTAGTCTGTTTTAGGTTCCTCAAAAGGTGGGGAAGTTTTTATTAGCTTGTCACAAAGGGCTCTGCTCTGTGTAGTCAGTTATTTAGCTACAATAGTTAGATTATTTGTCAATGTAGTGTGGCTTATGCATTTTATGATGAACTTTACAGGGACAAAAGGAATTTTAAATTTAGGCCTATAATAAAAATAAGGTGGACAAATACAAGATGTAACCTTGTTTAAATTCACTGAATCAGGCTAGTTCAGGTTCATTTCCCTATATACATTGTATTATAATACATGAGGAATGGTAGGGAACATTCAGTTTTACTGCATTATACTGTCTTAGGTGTAGCAAACATTAAGATTCAATGAAGGGGTAACTCTTTTTCTTTTACTTGTTCTTTGATGGTATTATTATTTTCTGTTGTAAGAAAACATGTTCCCTTTCAAAACTCTATTTATTCTTCAAGAAAAATAACACAAATAATATTTCTTATTCTGTATATAATTATATTTGGGCAAAGTTATTCCCTACAGTTGTCTCACTTATTTCGGGCCATTTGTATATTGGTTTCACCAATGTACTGTACTTTTCTGCAAGGATTTTTTTGTTAACCCAAAATATATTCACAATTTTCTAAATCTTAAGTAGGCCTACTTCTTATATTAACTACTTACTTTGTTGTATTAACAGGTTCATATTATACAATTTTATTTTATTCTAGGGTCCATAATATTTGATTACACTGTTGTAATATTTCATTACTTATTACCAGAAAGTCTATTATGTTTCCAAGTTGCTTGTTAATGGGCTGAAGTAAATGCCGTATTTTATTTACAAACCATTAAACAAACATGACAAACCCCATAAAATTATATGGGTGTGGTGCTTGTTATCAAGCAGATTTAAAGCCTCCCCTAAATATCGTCTTCACTGATAAATTCAGCTTTAAATGTAGATCTATAAATGACAGGATTGAAAGGTATGTAAATATCATCATCATCATCATTATTATTAGTATTATTATTATTATTAAAGTGGGCACGTGGTAATGTAGTTGGTTGATGCACTATGCAACAAGCTGGAAGGTTGCGGGTTTGATTCCCGATGACGTCATTGGATTTTTTCAATTGACCTAATCCTTCCAGCCACACTATGACCTTGGGTTCAACTCAGTCTCTAACAGAAATGCGTACCAGGAATCTTCCTGGGGATAAAGGGCAGCTGGCACCTAAGGCTTACAATCTTACCGCCATCTGTCAGCCAATTATATAGAAAATGTGGGAGTCTCAACATTTCACAACCCCATGGGCCTCCACAGCTTGTTACAGGGATAGTTTTACCTTTTTCCTTACCTCTTCATTATGCATTAAAGAATACATTGTAAATGTACTGTTATGGTTGTGACACTTACAGCCTCTGGTCGACACTATGATGCTGCTGCGGAGTAATTTGGTGTCACTTCTATGTTCTTCTCTGTTGCTTGACTCTACAGGCCATACATCAAATGAGTAGTTAGTTGACATCCGAAGACCACTTATGAATACTGCATACATACGAAACTTGGCATTTCCGGACATTATATCCCAGCCTAGTGAATCATCGATCATCTATAAACATACGGTTTTAAATTTATGTGTATACTTACATATTTGTATGCACTGCAATAACTACAGAAGGAGGAGAATAATACCAAATTCGAATATTTAGTCTGATTTCTATCTTGCAGGTTTTTCTTATGTTTCTTAAATTTTAGGCCTAATGAAGAGCTTTATAATTCGTTTTCACTTCTAACACAAAAGTGAAGACTGTGTGGGGGTATACATCACCACATATCATGGTGTAGTTCATTAGAAACAATTTTAGGCATTCTTACTGTGATTAGATGGATACAAGAAATAGATACACAGCTTTGTTTGAAAAAGGTCACTGGAAGATAATACATGGGACACAAGGACTTTGCTGGAAGAATAATATTACACTCGATTAGACTTGAAAGGATTCTGACGATGGTGTATACTGTACTTCTTTTGGCTTGTTTTGGACTTCATCCATCGTCTGGTATGTAAAAGACAAAAGACCACGATGTTTCGGAAACTGGATCTGTCTCCATCTTCAGGTGGGTAGGGGAGCTAGTCGCAATCACTGAACCAGTGATTGAGACTAGCTCTTTGTAACGGGCCCAACTGAGTAGGTTTATCCTCCCTTACTCACCTGAAGATGGAGACAGATCCAGTCTCTGAAACGTCGTGGTCTTTTGTCTTTTACATACCAGATGATGGATGAAGTCCAAAACAAGCCAATAGAAGATTACACTCGATGTTATACAAATAGGTTAAATTGAGTTGGATCAACTGGATCAGCATATAAGTATATAATAGGGAATTTACTGATCATCTGAACAGTCACTGAATGATGTAATTCAGTTGCAGAAAGATGGGTCACACCTTGGAGCGACACCGGTGCGGGCCCCAGGCCTGCAGCTCGCAGTAATGCACTTGGAAGCCAAAGATCTTTGGGGATTGGCGTTCATATTCCCACCTCAGTGTGACATCACGGAAGTCCGGTTCAGCTGACAGGTGAAGTACTTCTGGAAGCAGACCATAATTGATCAGAAAGTGAGGGAATACAAAGACCATCTGAACATGACCTTGAGGCAGCATAATCGACAGTTGACATCACAGCTAAACAGTCACTAAAACGGGCTAAATAATTAAAAAAGGAGAAACTCTTTTATCTTTTCAGAATGTCATCAAAAAGACCTTCCTCTGACCGAAAGAATGCATACATCATCTTCTACGAACCTGTAATTTGTTGACTGGGGGCATATGCTATATGTTGATGAGCTTAGTCAGGTGTTTTATTTATGGTTCTTGCTTTCCCAAGAGGCAAAATAAACACTAATGTTCTTGAAGGAAAATTACTCCTATTGTACCCATTGTTTATGTTATTGGTAATTAGGGCAGAAAATAAACTGGAAGAAATAATAAAACAAAACAAGAATGAATATTCAAATATACAGTTGCTGACATATGATGCAATAAGCAAAGAAACTAAAACTGCCTGGGGTCACATTTTCTCCTTACATTCTCCCAATATGAAATTAGAGCCAGGCTATCCTTGTAGGGTTTCTGTGGTTTTCGAAAGGTTAGGGTAAATGCCCCACGAGTAAGTATTAATGTTCCATTGTGGTGTATGTGAACCACAGTTTGCAAACATTTTTGTCTTCTTCATTCTTCAAAATCATTAATTAATTAATGAAAGTAAAAGTAAAGAAGGAGTTCTGGGAAGAACTAACCGCCTACTTTCCTTTCATTATAATTTTAATATCTGGTACAAGAAGTAAAAGAAAACTTCAGTATGTATGCCTAATGAAGTAAAAAAATCAATACAGTTTAGGAGACTGCAATGTTGGTATTACTGATGGGAGTGATTTATGAAGTAAACTGTTGAGATGGCTTCAGGTGGCATGATACACGTGCCAAGTTTCATGAAGATTTCTTCTGGCAGTCAGGTAACAGTATTAAGTTTATTACCTAGACAATCTGAGAAGTTGTAGTGTTGGTACTACTGATGAGAGGGATGTATTAAGCACCAAGTCTCATGACGACTGGTTCAGGTATTTACGTAATATTAAGGGTATTACCTCAAAAATTTGAGGCTACAGTGTTGATATTACAGATGAGAAGGATTTATGATATACTGAAATGGCATCAGCTGGCATGACATACGTGTACGTACCAAGTTCAATGACGATCGGTTCAGGCATTTAAGTAATATTACGGCTATTCCCGCAAAGATTTCAGAGGCTCTAATGTTGGTACCACTGATTTAAGGGACTCACGGAATATACCGTTGAGATGGTTTCATGTGACATGATATACGTACATATATGCCAAATTTCATGTAGATTGGCGCAGGCGTTCAGGCAATATTAAGGTTTCACCTCAGCAATTTGAGAGGCTTCAGTGTTGGTATTATGAATTACGCCACCGAGATGGTCTCAGGAGCCATTATATTCACACACATCAAGATCCATAAAGATTTTCTCAGGCATTCAAAAAAAGTTGTTCCTGTGCTTATTTTTTTATTGCTAGTGGGGTGGGACTAAGTCCCTTGTACTGCGGCTACTTCTGGCCTATTGCACCAGCCCCACATTATAGGTGAGGGTGATTGTGAAGCAATTGGTGGAATGAAGATTGGCAGGGGAAACCGAAGTACTCGGAGGAAACCTGCCCCAGCGCCACTTTGTCCACCACAAATCCCACTTGACCAGACCCGGGATCGAACCTGGGCCGCCGCGGTGGGGAGTCAGCGACTAACCGCTTGAGCTATGGCGCGGCCAGTCCTTGTGCTTAACCAATTAAGCACTACGCCGTATACACGTATGGGGTGAGTGATTTCTTGACCTCGGCACTTGTTGGAGTTGAATGATGAGCTTCACGTTCCTGCCGCTTTAGCCCCGGTACTCATTGGAGAGGAGACTTGATGAGCCTCAGAACCGGTCTGGATGGCGTGGAGAGAAGAACAATTTTGATCCCACTGAGATCCGAACTCCGATTCCTCGGCCGTCCAGTCCGGAATATAAAGGTACATAACCAAAATATAGAGTAATTAAGAGTCATGCAGAGATGTAACACAGCAAGTGATCGGCAGAGATTTCGCCAGGTTGCCTGTGCAGCAGGGGACAGGAACATGTTTGCATATTTAGCAGATAAGGCACTGGCAGTCAATCTATACTGATATCGTTTATTTAATTTTCAGTTAAATTTGTGTTGCGTTTTAAGTATATGGGAGCTATAAGTTTCTAATTACTCACTGGCTAGCCGCTGGTTCTGGCTTGAACAACATTAATTAGGTTCCTATCGCGTCTTGGCAGGTCTAAACGGCCGTATCTTGTCCTGTCTCAGATCACAGCCGGTTACTCCAGACAATACGAACAACTTTTAGTTGGTCAATGGCCTCCAACCTTCTGCTCGTCAGAGAATACCACCAATTTTATGTCGCCTTCCTCATAAACCAGGTGTGTACAGATAATGAACCGTTACGTTTACCTGCATAAGGAGAGAAGCAACCCGTGGAAAGTAATTCTTCCGGTATTTTAGCTAGCTAATATTGTCACGTGTATGGAATGATTATAGACGGGGTTTGGAATTGGATTTATTGACCAAATTATACAATAGGAACTACAAGTATCTAATTACAGCACCATCGCTAATTTCCACAATTTACCAATAACTCCAGCACACGATAAGTTTTTTTCAGACTGCTGTGTCTTCACCGGCCTTTCTCTGGTAAAGGCTTCTAACAGTGGAGATTCTTCAGCTTCCGGGCTCAACTCCTCTCCTTCCAACTGTCTCTTTTCTTCAAATACTCCCGTTCAGAACTGACCTGGTTGCTCCAGTTGTCTTCCTTATAACTCCTGGGCACGGACCAACCTAAAGAAACCCGTTTCCTACAGTACCTCATGCGTATGCGTATCCGTTGCCGCAGGAACGTGTTTACCGAACTGACTATTGTTGCTTAATAAGAATCTTATTCCTAGCAACGAAAGTTGTTTCGTTGTTTCGCGGTCGTTGCCTAGAAACAGGTCTATATTTGTTTCTTGTAACACACGACCGGTGACAAAGAAAAATCTTGTGATAGCTCAGTGGGTATAGAGGCAGACTACGGGGTCGATGATCGGGGTTCGATTCCTGCAAGATGCAATAGATTTTTCACTATTCCAGTGTCCAGATCGGCTTTGGGGCCCACCAAACCTCCCATACAATTGATGCCGGAGACTCCTTCCCTGGAGGTAATGCGACAGAGGCGTGACCACTCACCTCCCTGTAGTGCCGAGGTCAAGAACGGTGGAGCTATACCTCCATTCCACCATAAATCTTCATGGCGTGGTGCTTAATTAACCAAAGAGACAAATTTACCTCATCGATAAACATAAAAAATAGCTTCATTTAGGACCGTCGACCTACGAAGTTCTACGGCTTAAAGACTTACTGGCTGAAGTTGAGGGGTCAGCTTAAACTTCCGGCAGATTTACTTCCGTCTCCCAAGGAAAGAACCCCCTCTGTTAATTGCAGAGGAATGTGTTAGGGCTCCAGTGCCGATCTAGATGTGGCGGAGAATACTATGACGGGAACTGATTCCCTGTTGTCCAACCAACAGCTCGCTACTTTACTGACTGAGCTTTCTCGCTGTACATTTAGTCATTAAGAGAGAGAGAACAGGAAGAAGCAGCTGGTTTAAGGTAGTATTTCTCCAGCTGTTGCGATATAACCTCCAAAAGCAATTCAGTGAATAAGTTACACATAACTTTCTTCATTCGAGGATCACGGATTCAGGAACACTACCAAAGATGATTATCATCGCATCTTCCACCTGCGACAACATTACTCTTTGCTGTCGTGACGGCTCAGTACTAACAAGCACCTCATTAGTTCCGCGTAATGTCCGTTGGATATCGTTTTATTATCAGTTAAATTTACAGCTGATGCACGTAGCTTATAATTCGTTCAAGAAAAGTTTATTGATCAACAGGGATTACTGTAAAAGCAACTGTCGCCCGAAGACAGAAGAAATGTAGATATCTGCCAAGTGGACAGACTCCTACTGGTATTTGCCGTTAAAGAAACTACTCCCATTACGAAAACATTTGCAGTGCTTCAAGACGTAACACGTGATGCCATTTTACAAATTAGGCAGTAGTCAGTACAATCCCAACTTAATGTAGCAACTTCCCGCTTAATTTTCAAAACGATTTTCATTGTCCTTTCAGAGAATCTCATCAGATTCTTGCATTGAGGTCTGAAGACATTTATTCTTGTTACAATACGTCAACTTTCCCGTTACACTTTCTTCCTTTCTTTTCTTATTATGTCCTTATACCATATGTTACCAGAGTGAAGAATTCTCAACAGAAATTCGATGGCACAACAAGGATATAATACTTAAATAATCAACTCTTGTTACCAAACTGCACACTACCACCGCGTGGGCATGCACAGAATGAGATGCCATTGTCAGTCGTGTTTGTAGAATAAAGTATACGTAGGCTGATCATAGTGGCCGCTCGGTCTGACGTATGGAATGTCTTCGCCCGCTCGAACACAGGGATCGTGAGTTCTACTCCCACTCGAAGCAAGGATGTATGTCTACATTTTTGTGTGGCCCCGTCCAAGGAGTCCTACGAACTGTGTACAAGATTAATAATTTCATGATTAATTCTGAATGGGAAAGAAGAAGGTATACATACATAGCGTCATTAAATGAGGAGCAACTTAGGCCTATACACTCTCAAGTTACACTCACTTTTCATAATAATTTAAATCGTTAGCCTAGTCGATCTGTGAAGGTGTGATACTTTGGAGTTGTGGTCTGATAAAAGCTTGTACCCTGAAAACGGAGGCAGTAGGTTTCTCCGAAACATTGTTAACTGACCACGAAACTATGTCATAACACATAAGATCATAAAATCTTAAGTTGGTGAGGATGCACACAATTTATAGCACAAAGTGTTCCCAAACGCATAATTAATAATGATATTCATGTATGGCATATAGAGATACATCCTAATTAAACTACATAATTAAA